GAAGAAGAAGGTAAAGAAAAATGGAAGAAGGTGGCGACAAAAAGAAAGTGATGGTGGCGATTGATGAGAGTGAGTGCAGTCACTACGCTCTCGAGTGGGCCCTTAACAACCTTCGAGAGTCCCTCCAAAATTCGAAGCTTGTTATCTTCACTGCTCAACCCCTCGCCGATTACGGCTATCTTTATGCTTCCTCATACGGAGCTGCCCGTATGTACTCTGTAATCCCTTCTTTAGTGTGTGTGTATGTCTCTCTCTGTGTGTGTGTGTGTGTGTGTGTGTGTGTTGCCATTTTTATTCAGCTGATGCTGCTTACTAATTGCAGCTGCTGAGTTGGTTACATCGGTGCAAGAAAATCACAAAAGGGTTGCCGAGGCTCTGTTGGCTAAAGCAAAGGAAGTCTGCAGTCAAGTCGAGGCATTTAAAAATCTCCTCTTTCGTTTATATGATGACAATTATAATCAGGGATGCACGCTTAATTAGTTACTTGGTTATGTTGCTATAGGTATCTGCCGACACGTTTACGCAAGTCGGGGAACCAAAGGAGGCGATATGCGAAGCTGTGGAACAGCATAACCCACAATTACTTGTCCTTGGCAGTCATGGCCGCAGAGCTTTACAGAGGTGCTTATTGTTACTATTTAAATACATTTATAGCATTTTCTTTATGCTTGATTGATATATGTTTCTTTTTTTTTTTTTTTTTCGAGCGACTTCAATAGGGCGTTTCTTGGAAGTGTTAGCAATTATTGCGTCCACAATGCCAAATGCCCTGTTCTTGTCGTGAGGAAAAAGGAGTAAGACTCGATAAGGAGCCGATCAACTGACTAAATCGTTTGAATCTTCAGTTTACGGTTGTGTAATATTAATAAAATCGTTTGAGCCTTCAGTTTCCAGCTTCCAGCTGTATGATATTGATAAAGGAAGCTCGTCGAGGGCCACTTTAAGTGGGTATGAAAAACAGAAAAACTATCTTGGTGTGTGTAATACAAGTTATTGCTACTTTTTCCTTGTGGTGTTTTTCGGCTCTTTTGATCTCAAGAGAATGTGATTGATTGAACAATATAACAAATATGTCGTGCAAAAGGACATGTCTTTACCTGTGATTTTTGAATTCATCCAAATATACGTTAAGAGTCGCTTGTGTATGATGATATGAAGTGAAGTGCTTGTGTATGATGATTATATGGTAGTCGTAGTTATTTGTAAAATAATAAGCATGGAGATAAATTAAGGTAAGAGTTGAAGGAAATGATAGGTACTTAGACTGCCTCCAAATGGCTCTAGAATTTAATTTAACCTTGTATCTCAGAGTGGAAAATCTTCGAGCTCACAGCTAAATGGCCTTTTCTTTTCTTCCTTCAAAGCTAGGCAGAACTCCGAGCTCATAGCTCGATGTACTATTCCTCAAACATACAGAACATCGAGCTCGAAGCTCGGGGGCCTACGTCTAAACACAGGCTACATAGCCATATGAATCTCCAAGTTCGTAGTTCGGGGGCCTATGTCTCAAGAAAGTAAAAGCTCTAAGTTCAAAACAAGGAAAAAAANNNAAAAAAAAAAAAAAAAAAAAAAAAAAAAAAAAAAAAAGGCAGACAGGAACGGTCAAGGTTAAGAAAACTCAACAAACGAAAGTATAGAAGAAGAAACCCAGAAACACATAGTTAAGAAGCTTGGCTTGGCCCTAAGGCTGAGCACAATAAGAAAAATTCAGCTCGCTTCGCTACGCATCTTCGTTTTACAACTATTAGCTCTGCTTCCAGTATAGCGGCTTTCATAGCAATTATGGTGTCTCTTCGATACCGGCTCACCAATTAAGCCATTTGGCAGTGATTATGTAAAACCAAGAAAGCAAGCTCTTGGTCGAAAGTTATCCCAGTTGAAGGCAGAAGCCACTAAACAAAAATAGAAACCGACCAAGAGAATGGTAATTAGAAGTTTTATTCAAGAAAACGAACGGAACTCTGGGCAGAGGCCTGGGAGACTTCAGCCAAAAAGCAAGACACATTTGTTGCTGAAGTATAAGGTCGGAAACAACATAAGAGGCTAAGTAAAGGGAGGTTAGACAATTCCGTCCCACGAGAAGAGCGCGATTTACGAAGGTCGTATTAAAGATCTTGGTCCAGATAAATAATTTAACACAACAGAGCTAACCATATGGAAGTTCAGAAAAGTTTTCAAGTGAGTAGTACCCCGTTTTAGGTCATCTTAAGTAAAAACTAGTAAGTAATGCAATAAAGGGAAGAAAGAGAAGAAATATCTCATTACGGACATAAAGAAATTAGAAAGACCCACGTTTGGGCAGTTCAGTTACAAAAATAAAAGGAACTACAGAGTGGAAGAAGTTCTCACCCGGGACGAGTTCAGCCCAGCCTATGTGCTGCTTAACCGCTGCTATGGCGGGCTTCTACCAGGCATGTTCATTAGGCTCCTTTGGATTGCCCTCCCAACCATTGGGGTATGGGAGGCCTTAACACATCAAGTCCTCATTAAAGTGTTTGGCATAGGCACCAAGAACAACTTGGCCCGTAGCTCGATCGATGCTGACCTCTAGGTATTGTTGGGTGGTTGGCACCAGCCAGTGCAAGAACTCCTTTAATTCCTAGAAGCGAGCAAACAGATCTTGATGGTAACGCTCCAATAAGCTCCTCTCTAGGTCAGAATCAAGAAAAGAAGCCAGGTCGTCCTCATGCCCTTTAGGCTCGTGCTCGGCCATTGTCGCGACCAGTCGGCTCAGTTGAGCCCACAGTTGAGACGCACCCTCTACCTCAACACGAAGCTCGGTCTGAAGACCAGTTAGCTTAGTCATCTGAGTCCTTGTCTTTTTTCATACTTTTGAGGCATTTGTCTTTAGCTTGGCCCTTTCCTGGTCAAAAGCCTGCTCCCGGGCAGTGAGCTCAGCCTTCAACCATTTGTTCTTGACCACAAAGCCCTCGCCGGACAGCTCTTCATCCAAAAGAGTACCCAATGTAGACAAGGGATAAACGACAGGAAACAACGAATCAGGAAAAATGTGAGTTAATGAAACATCAGCAAAGGTAAAGAATTATAGAAAAGGTAAGGTCGTACCTGTAGGGTATGCAAGAATACGTGGAAGGCTCATATAGCCTGACCCCTGTGCCACCGGTTTGTTTCCCCCTCGGGAAAGATACACAGCATATAAACAGACTGGTCACTAGTATCATTAGAGACCTCCAGCCTCTGCAGTATCTCTAAAACAGAAGCTGCAGGGGGATCAGCCACCTTCGACTTTGAAATCACCTTTGCCACATTAGAACCCAAACCGACCTCAGCCACCCCTGGCTTTGGAGACGTTTCCATGGTTTTTCTCTTCGAGCGAGGTTTCTTTATCGGTGTTTGGGCCCTCAGTGGCAACACAGAAGTTCGGCATGGGTGGCGACACAAGAGCAGAGCCCAGATGGAATGGAAGAATGTTGGCAAGAAATGCGGGCTGACAACAAGGCTGCGACACATAGAAAAAAAAAAAGATCGACATATACCTGGTCCACAAAGAATGCATGAAAGCCCTCAGGGGGCTTGATGAAAGAGCCCTCAGGGGACCAAGTAAGAAGAAAGGATGGTCTGGACGCCGTCATAAATAGTCACCTCGGCAGATCGGTGCGAGAATAATCGAGAAGTGTCAATGAGAGAGTTAAAAATATTTCGAGAAGAAGATGTGGAAGAGCTCGGAGACACGATAAAAGAAGAAAAGGCAGGGCGATCGTAGTAGTATCCGATGAAAAATAAAGCATAAGAAGTACAGTTCGAGGTCTGAAATTGAAAAGACAAATACACAAGGATAAGAAAATGTAGAACGTACCAATTAATCTTCTGTTGGTTGGGCTAGAATAGTAGGATCCAAGGTTTGCAAGCTGCATCAAGAATTTAAGCACCAAAGTGATTTTTGGCAAAGTAAAAATGTAGGTTATTGGTAAAGAGTGAAAGAATTGGTAATGGAAGATAGTTTTCTTCTTCAGCAAAACCAGAGAAAACAGTTTCTTTCTTTTCTTCGTTCAACTCATAATAATCATAAGTGCCATAATACACATACTCCATTTGTTTTTAATACAACTAAGTCCTAACCACTTAAGCTCAAATATAACAAGCCAAATACAACATACATATATACACAACAAGCCCAATGTAACATAAAAATAATAATAATAATAATAATAATAATAATAATAATAATAATAATAATAATAATAAGAAACGAAATAACAATCAAACTAATGAAACGAGGCGATCATATTTGTCGAGATATGTTAATGCAATCT